ACAACATAAAGCTCTGCAGAGCATCTAAATTAATTAAACCATACACTGAAACTATGTAAAACATTTTAATGCGAAAACAAATGCGATCATAATCGCAACCAATGTAACAACTGATCCAACGGCATAATGATACCAAGCCTCGGTATGAATGGCATATTTTCTAATCTTTCTAATCTTCAAGCGCATTGCATCCATCTTGATCTTGTGATCATCGACGACATCCGCAACATGCAACTCCAATATCATCTTCTCCTCCTCAATTTTCTAATTTGTTCCTTCAACAAATTGTTTTCTTCTTCAAATAAATTTAACCTCTCGACAATAGGGTCGGTTGGAATTTCCGGTTCAACAACCTCCTACATAAATAAAATCTATGTCACGTTGGTCGGCATAATTGTCATAAACAATAAATGAACCAATAGTTATGAAAAGATAATATATACCACATCCGAATCATAGACAGGACGAGGGCCGACGGGGGCAGATACCAAAACCATCGCACTATATAAGATGCAATAATAAAAGTAAGAAAATTATACAAGTATCTATATAAATATACAAGTAAGAATTTTTTTCCTTTCAGAAAGAAGATAAGAACAAGAGGCTCACCACGGTGGTGCCGGCGACGAGATCGGCGCGGGCGATCGACGGCGGTGAAGACAGGGACGGGACGTGACAGACCGCTAAACCTAGACAAATATTAAGGAAAATGGAGCTTGGAGGTCGAGCTTGGAGAGGATAAAGCTTAAGTAGTGTGGCTCGGGCATTCCATCGAACACCTCGTGTGCATAGGAGGTGAGCTAGAGCACCACAAAGCTCTCCCATCGCCGGCCATGAAAAATAGAGCACTGGGAGTGCTCTGCTCGCGGGCGAGGGGTAGATATAGGCAACTAATTGGTCCCGGTTCGTGCCACGAACCGGGACTGAAGGGCAGCCTTTGGTCCCAGTTCACGCCACCAACCGGGACCAATGGTGGTGGGCCAGGAGCGAGGCGCATTGGTCCCGGTTCGTCCCACCAACCGGAACCAATAGGTCCAGCCGAACCGGGATCAATGGCCCACGTGGCCCGGCCGGCCCCCGGGGCTCACGAACCGGGTCCAATGCCCCCATTGGTCCCGGTTCTGGATTGAACCGGGACTAATGGGCTGACCCGGCCTGGACCATTGCCCCCTTTTCTACTAGTGCGATCTTCTGTTTCCTTCATTTGCTTACTAGCTAGCGTGTCGAGTCCTCTCTATACGTATAGTACGTAGCGTCCTCTCTATTAATTAGCTAGCTAACACAACATATGAAACACCTAAATTAAGCCCCCAAAACTCCTAAACCATCCCCTTTCAAAAAAAAACCTCAGCTCCTGCCAGCTGCTGACGCGTGGACGTCTACTGGTCCCGGTTGGTGCCACCAACCGGGACCAAAGGGCCTCCTTCCTGGGCTCGCCGCACCGGCCACGTGGAGGCCCATCTGTCCCGATTCGTGTAAGAACCGGGACTAAAGGCCTAGGGCTTTAGTAACGACCCTTTAGTCCCGATTCAACAACCAGGACAAATGGCCCTTACGAACCGGGACAAATGACCCTTTTTGTACCAGTGGCCTCTTCCAAGTGTTGACTTTACTATGGTGTTAGCTCTGCCCTCCCCATCAGAGACAAGCTTGGAGAAGCGACCGTGTCCCTTATGACCTAGCTTGGCCACGCCCTGCCCCAATCTGCCCTTAACCGGGCCAGAACCAGGGGGAGTGTTTGCGCAACTAGCAAACACCAAGGACTCCTCTGGGAGGGCCCTAGTGCTGTCACCAACAGGTTGCAGGAGGTCCTCGCAGTACCGCCGACGCTGCCATGTCAACGCCCGTGGAGTTGGGCGCCGACGCAGACACATCTACTCCTGCCACCGCCTCGTGCTCATCCGGCACCTCCGCCTTGTGCTCATAAGCCATGGATTTGTTGCACACATTAGGAGGCAAGCCGTTAAGGCGGCGGCCGATTATGCTGACCCTGTTTGGTTGCACACATGGCCATTTCCCGATTAAATATCTGGGAATACCGATTCATTATCGACGTCTCACCATTGCGGAGTGGAAGCATGTAGAGGAGCGGTTAGAGAAACGGTTGAGCAGCTGGAAAGACAAGCTGCTCTCTGTTGGAGGACGGCTGGTTTTGATTAACTCTGTCCTTACAAATATGGTCCTCTATATGCTTTCTTTCTTCCAACTCCCAAAAGGGGTCCTACAAAGACTGGACTATTTCAGATCCAGATACTTTTGGCAAGGAGACGGGGAAAAGAAAAAATACAGACTAGCCAAGTGGAGTGTGGTTTTTAGGCCGAAAGACCAAGGTGGCCTTGGAATTCATGACCTGCAGGTCAAGAATGAGGCTCTCCTTAGTAAATGGTTGTTCAAACTTCTTACTGAGGATGGTGTTTGGCAAACATTACTGCGCAACAAGTATCTAGGCCACAAGGCGGTGTCTTAGGCATATTAGAACCCTGGCGACTCGCACTTTTGGGCTGGCCTAATGGCGGCAAAGAAACATCTCTTTCGCTTTGGGTCTTTCGCGATAAAGGACGGGTCGGAGATTCGTTTTTGGGAAGACATCTGGCTAGGCGGTGCCACTCTCCGAGAACAATATCCAGCCTTGTACAACATTGCTCGCGATAAGAATAATACTATTGCGCAGGTGCTCAGTTCATCCCCCCGGAATATTTCGTTCAGGCGGGATTTGACTGGCCCCCGACTTATGTCATGGCATAATCTTTTGTCCCGTCTGGGTGCGATTAGCCTGACAAAAGGGCGGGATGTGTTTTGCTGGAACCTTACTACATCAGGGTCTTTCACCGTAGACTCTATGTATTGTGCGCTCACGCATTCTGAGGTACCGGTGAGTAATAATAAGAAAATTTGGAGATCGAAGATACCACTAAAAGTTAAAGTCTTCATGTGGTATCTTCGTAGGGAGTTGTTCTAACCAAAGACAACCCCGCACGGCGCAATTGGCAAGGGAGTAAGAAGTGTTGTTTTTGTACTCATGATGAGACCATCAGACACCTCTTTTTCCAATGCAACTTTGCATGTTCTACGTGGTCAGTCATCCAAATAGCGTCAAGTTTATATCCGCCCACAAGTGTTGTCAATATTTTTGGTCATTGGTTGGACGGTATTTCAAATAGGTTCAAAACGCTATTAAGGGTGGGAGCGTATGCCTTACTATGGTCGCTTTGGCTATGTAGAACTGATTTTGTTTTTAATGACAAAAATGCTTCTCCTTTGCAGGCTATTTTCCGTTGTACGCACTCGCTTCGTATGTGGTCTATGATACAACGAGCGGAGGTCCAACCGCTATTCAAGGCGGTGTGTACGCGGTTGGAGCAGGTGGCTACGGGGGTTTTTACCCAACATGGGTGGCAGCATAACCTCCGGATCGGGCCATCTCACCTTTCGACATAGGCACAGTGTCGGTCTATGGGACTCTACTATTGTCGATTTGTCGGTTTTTGTTTTCTGATTGTCAGACTTTTGATGTTTCGGCTGTGTGCATCCTAGTTATGCAGAGGCTGGGTGTTGCTCATAATGCTTTGTATCCACTTGATGCTACATTTTTAAGTTAATAAAATCACCCTTTATCGAAAAAGGAGGCAAGGTATTGATGGAGTCGGCACTTTTTAGGCTTGTGGAGTCATCTGTCAAGGTTGCGTTCACCGGCCTGGTATTTGCCCCATCAATGTTCCGTGTTTCACCGGTTTTTGCCGCAGCCTCGGTGTCAACCGGTGCACTGGTTGATGTGGAACGTGCGGTCTAGATGGATGGATCTCTGTCAAACCCCCTGCTCTGATTTCCTTCCTCCTCTTCAGGTCCAGGAGGGGTTAGGGGTGGCCGGCGAGCTCTGGTCAAGGCGACGGTTGCCGCGGCGGTTACCCTGGGTTTACGGCTCTTGTCTCTCTCTCGCCCGGAAAGTCTGTCGCGGCTGCCCCTCCGCTCGACGCCGGCTCCGTTCTCCGGCGAGATCCACAGGTATGCTGCGATTTGCTACGTCAAACAGTCGTTTATTCGTAATCCCTGGTGAAATTTTTGATGGACTCGTTTCTTGGTTCCCTCAGGAGCCAGGATCCTGCCCTGATGGAACGTGATGTCCGATTCCAATTTCGATCTAGGGCTCCACGCTGCAAAAAAAAAAGATAAAAAAATCACCTTTTTTATTGGATTATACACGCATCCGGTATCCTTGTAGCTCATGCTTTCCCGCCCCGACATACATATTAATTTAGTGCAAAACACCTGCATCAGTCTGCTGCAGATCTACAACATCTGTTTACTAGAGAAAGAGAAAAGAGATAGAGGGAGATAAGAAGTTATAACATGTTTTGAATGCTGAGTATTTAGAAGACCTAGCATAATATTTGGCCAGTACGTACCTGCAACTGCAAGTTCCACTTGTATCCTGTATTTATTCAGTAATGCATCTTGGATCCCTGCTGTAAATTGATGGGCTTGCCGATTCCTAGTGTATGGGATTCATTGCCGATCGGCCAAGATCCCAACGACAACTGCTCCTCCGATAGACAGGGTTAGAGCCCCAGTGGGCTACGGTTGCCGCCGCAGCTGGCCAGGGTTGTGGTGGGTCCTGCCGCAATCCCGTTTGGGCGGTTACCCAAACGTTGTTTCCGCGCTCACCTCCAGCGCGACTAGCACCTCCGGCTCCGCCGAGATCCAGCGGCATCCTATAACTTACAGTTTCTGTAAGTTAAGCCATTCCTTTCGAAGTTTCGGTGCATCAGTAACACATTGATCTGTACATTGGTAGGGGATTCACCATTGGTTTCTGAAACAATATATGCCGTTGGTACTTACAAAGTGCAGATGCATTACATTGCTCCTCCATAACCAGTTGCTACTTCTTTGGTGACACGCAGATATATATACATCTGTCGATTCAGTCTATCCTGATGGACAAGGCCAGCAACCAAGAACGCTCTGTAAATGTAAGAGTCAAGGGGGATGCTTCCAACAGGATGATGAGATCGAAGGTGGCAGTGGAGCTTCACCTTCTACCCCACGTAAGGATCACCATGCTTGAGATTCATATATACGCATTATTATTTACTCTTCTCAACTGTAACAATAACCTTGACTATTGAGCGACTGCCTGCCGCTACTCGACTGAATGAATGAATGAATTAATTAATTCTCATGCGTACGTACAGGACGTTCTGCGCGACATATTGTCACGGCTATCACTCAAACAAGCTGTGAGGATGAGCCTACTTTCTTGCGAGTGGAGGCGGCTAGGGATATGCCCTCTGGACCTGGTGTTCACTGAAGAGACCCTATTTGGCAGCAATACAACCACGATTGCCGACCCGGAATACATGGTCGCTGAATTCCTGGAATCAAGGAACATTGAATTCATCACCAGAGTGGACAGTGTGTTGCGCACGTCATGGTCTACTTCCACTATGACAACTGCTAGTACGGTGAATAAGTTTGTTGTCAAATATGGCCTCGGCACATATCATAGGCACCACATTGACAGATGGATTGACTTTTCCACCGCGTTGATGGCCAAACACATTCGTCTTGATCTCAGGGGAGACGGCTTTGCAGGTGGCATTTATGTTGTCCCGCTGTGTAAACTCAGTGGTCCAAATGGCTCTTGTGTGAAGTCTCTTGATCTTGCTTATGTCTGCTTATGTCTGCCCGCTAGTTTCTGTGGTATCACAAACCTGAATAAACTCAGCCTGTATATGGTCTCCATTGATGCACGTGATCTCGAACGTCTATTGCTAAGTTGTCTTCTTCTTAAGAGTTTAAGTTTGGAGTGCTGCCCCTTATCAAGTTTCACTATACGTCAGGAGATCTGCCGGTTGCAATACCTGAGCGTCCGCAAGTGTGCGGTGCGAATGATACAGTTGCAAGCTCCGAACCTTACCACATTTAAGTTTGATGACTGTGTGACACAAATTGTGCTAAGGGAATCTTCAAAGCTGTCAGAAGCAACCATTGTGTTCAAGAACATGCGGGACAACTCGTGTTCTCACGCTTTCAACTATATCTTGACTGAGCTTCCAACTTCACTTCCTTATGTGCAGAAACTCTTTCTACATTTGGTTATTGACTATCAGGTTTGCTCTGTGCCTTATTTACTTTTTTTTTGCAGTGACGATATTGTTGACTTGGGACCTCGATCCATCTCATATTGATTTATTGTTGTCGATGTGCATTGTTTCTGTTCCAGGTGAAGAAGTTCAGTAAAACTCACACAACTTTCATCAATTTGTGGCATCTGAACCTGAACATTGATGTCAGAGACGATCCAGAGGATGCTAGCTGGGTTATTGGGTTGGTTTACCTCTTGGAATCAGCGCCTCTCTTAGAAGAACTGGAACTGAATGTAAGTGATTCAATCGTTGATCATGGTAAATAAAATCTGTTTGATCTCTCTGGTCAAACCAATACGTATATTTAAATTAATAATTGGTTGGTTATACATCTGCAGATAAATTATGATAGATTTGTTGATCGTGATCCTACAAGGATAGTGAAGGCTGTTCCAGGGCCTCTGCATCGTCACCTCAGGAGTGTCCATATTACTGGATTTTGTGATCTAGTGGGGATAGCCGAGCTGTCACTCTACATCCTTGGGAATGCTATTGTGCTCGAGCGTATGGTGGTAGATCCAGTGGTATGGATGGACAATGGATATCCATATAGCAGGCAGCTCTACTCAGTCAGCAAGGTCGGTAGCTACCAGGAGTCTGCTCGACCTCGTTTTACTAAGCAGGAGCTGCGGGATAGGGAGTTTGCAAAACAACACCTTAACAGAAAGGAGTTTCAACACATGCTCACCATTTTATGAACAGCAATCCTAGGGCTTCAGGTCGTATTTATATAAGCGGATGCTTGCTGGATCAGCGTTGTAAAAATTGTCCTGAAAGGTGGCATGTACAAGCTAAATTATTGAAGACAAGTAGTATTTGTACGACACAAAATTTAGTTGTTTATTCACTTTGTATGCAATCTGGGTTAAGTACTCTACATTGTGTGTCCTGGTATTTCTTTTCTTGGTAGTATGAACAAATACTGGTACTAATGAAGTGACATGAAATATTCATTAGCAAACGAAACCAGGGCATTATTATTATCCCATTTTATGTGTGATGAAAGTGTTGAGTGATTCATTCATCTTATCTCATTTTATGTGTGATGCAATAAACAGCGCCTTTCCTTCATACAGTTAGTTTGCTTACATTTCTTGCACTACTTACAATACGCATTTTCCCCCTTTCCTCCCTGTCCTATCTTTTGCTGTTTCTGCTCTTAGTTAAGAACCAAAATCAGAGCATCTGTTTTCTCTCACTTTCCAACAACACTGGTTTCATATAGTACTAAGGGCATGTACAATGGTGGCATATGAAAATATATGCGCTATAAGAAAAAGTAGCTTGAGGCATTTATATTGATTTTTTCTCCCAATTGCAAGCTACTACTCGTGGGCCTCATAAAAAAATAGAAAGTAGACTTCGACTACACATGCATCCTTATTCTCCTCTTAAACTTTTTCAGCTTTATGCATCGGACCATATTTTTTCTCCCCAAGCACCCGCCTCCTGCCGAGTATCCCGCTACACCATTCGAACCTACTTTTTCCGACATCCGATCCTACTGGCCTAAGGGGCACCACCCTAGGGATATGCATTGGACATGCATTCGTCAGTATTTAGCGTGTTGTAGGCGAGATCATTGATGAAAAAATTAACATATCATAAGTTTAGCTTGGGAAAACAACAAACCTATGGAACCTTGTAGATAATATAGTAGAATCGCCCGATCTTTCTTGCGAGTTGCGAGGTCGTTGTTTTAATTTTCCTTTCCCATGAACTTCGCTATTTCAACCTTTTAGAGAAAAGGGCAACATATTCTTATCAAAATCTGGAATTTATAGAATTTGACAAGAAAATAGCGGGAAGAAGGGAAGAGAATATACGAAAAGGTGCTTTGACGGGGAGAATGTTCATTTAAATTGTCTGAAATAAGGGCACCCATGTTCCAGTTGGTTGATAGAGAAAATCAGGTTTAGTCTACTGCCGTCGTGCCATGCATCTCGACCATATATTAAAAACGCAAGTGAAGGAGTTTAGCGGCAAGAAAATTGGCAGCAAAATTATAGGAAGGAAGGCACGATCTCGAGCGAAATCGGCGCGATCTCGAGCGAAATCGGCGCGATCTCCCGCGATTTGGGAAAGGAAGCAAATTGCGCGGAAGATCCTAAACCGTGATATGACCGCTATTTACGGCAATTTTGCCGTTGATTTTAATATATGATCTCGACATGGCCGCCCCTCCCCTTCTCCGGCTCGGGCACCGACTGACACACACCCCACAAACACCCATACCCACACCATTAACCCTCCACCTCGCCACTATGTACGAAGCCGCAACTAGGTATGTTGTCTCTGCCCCTAGCTCATTCTTGGCTCACCCTTTGTCGGTTGTCCCTGGCCCAGGTTTGCACTTCTTTAGACCACATAAAAAAACCAAAAGACCATATATATTTTTCAGGGATGGTCGGGGGAGGAGGGTCGCGAGCTTGCCGCGGGAGTGCTGCCGACCGCAGGCGGTTAGGCCTGCGGTGGCTTGGCGGGCCGAACGGCTGGAGGTTCAAGACACACATCTGGCCGTCTATTTTTCATCGGACGGCTGAAGCCAATTGACTGGCCCAATTAGATTACAGTCGACTAGTTTCTAGCCAGTCCCTTAAATCTAAATCAAAAAGACGTCACTCGCAATTTTTTTTCAAAAAGACGTCTTGTATTTTGAGATAGAGGATGTATATTTTTATAGGTACAATACGACAAGAATGATAGAAATCGTACGAGAATAAAAAAAGAAGCCAAGCACTCCCTTTGTTTCAAAATATTTGAAGTTCCAGGTTCGTTTTGTTTCACCAAGTTTACGATAGTAGCAAACTTGTAGCCCAGAAGCCGTTAGGATACATACGATGTGGAGCGTGCAGTGCAGATGGATCTCTGTCGTTGCAAGAACTCAACACAACACCCGCCTCTCTGCTCTGCTTTCCTTCCTCCTCCGGACTCCCAGGGTTTAGGGCGCGTGTCTCCCTTCCCTCTGGAAAGTCTGCCGCGGTTGCCCCTCCGGTCAGCTAGTACCTGCGACGGCGACTCCGCTCTTTGGCGAGATCCAGAGGTATATATTGCGATTTGCTACTTGAGAGAGTCGTTTATTAGTAATCCCTGGCGAAAATTTTGATGGACTTCTTTCTTGGCCCCCTCTCAAAGAAATGCTTCTTGCAGTTACAATTCCCCCAGGATTCTGCCTTGATGAAACGTGTGATTCGATTCCAAACCCGATCTAGGGATCCACGCTGCAAAATTCCCCCTTTCGTCACATTATATTATATACATTATTGTAGCTTATGCTTTTCCTCTCCAGCCTCGTACTCCCTCCGTTCAGATTTACTCGTCGTGGTTTTAGTTCAAATTTAAACTAAAACCACGACGAGTAAATCGGAACGGAGGGAGTAGTAATTTAGTGCAGAACACCTGCATTAGTCTGCTGCAGAGCTACATCACCTGTTTACTTGTTTGGAATGAAGAGTGTTTAGAACTGAAAGAGACACGGGGAGATAAGAAGCTGACAACGTATTTGGAATGCAGGGTATTTAGAGGGCCTTCCATGATATTTGGCTAGGACCTCTGACTCCATCCTCTCCGACCGGTATTCTTTAATTTCTACTTCCAATTGATGGACTTGCCGATTCCTGGTGTAGGCGATTCTGCTCCCCTGGTTTGCTCTGCTCTGATGGGCACGCCAAACAGTCAAGAACGCCCTATAAGAAACAAAGGCGATGCTTCCAGTTCGAAGAGGATAGTGGGATCGAAGGTGGCCATGGAGGTTCACCTTCTATCGACTGTAAGGATCACCATGCCCCATTTACACCTATTACCTACTCTGCTGTCATAACCTTAACAAGAAGCAACTATGAATTGAACAACTGCTGCCAAACTACCGCGACCTGACTCACTGCTCATACTTAGAGGGTGTTTGTTTCCAGGGACTTATTGGTTTAGGGACTTAAAAAAGTCCCTATAAGTCCCATCTAAACCAAACATGAGGGATTTATAGGGACTTAAAGTGGGCATTTGAGACTTATGAAATATAGTGGTCTTATAGGGACTTATAGTTGTAATGTGGTCTTATAGGGACTTATATGTCTCAGGAACCAAACAGGTAGGGACTTTTTAGAGATTTGAGACTTATAAGTTGAGACTAAAAAAAGTCCTAGGACTTATGAACCAAACAGGGCCTTACAGGACGTTCTGCGCGACATCTTCTTACGGCTATCACTCAAACAGGGCGTGAGGATGAGTGTACTATCTCAGTGGGTGGAGGCGGCTAGCGATATGCCACCCGGACCTGGTGTTCACCAAAGACACCTTATTTGGCAGCGATACAACCACAAGTACTGACCCGGAATCCATGACAGCTGAATTCATCACTAGAGTGGACAAATGTGTTGCGCCCCGCTGTGGTCTACTTCCACCACGACAACTACTACGGCCCATAGGTTTGTCACATCAAATTTGGTCTCGGCAGGCATCAAATGCATCACATTGATAGATGGATTAACTTTTGCACCGCGTCGATGGCCAAGCACGTTAGCCTTGATCTCAGGGGACGGAACGGCTTTGAACATCCCGAGTACATTGTGCCGCTGTGCAAACTCAGTGGCCAAAATGGCTCTTGTGTCAAGTCTCTTCATATGGCTGATATCTGTTTAAAGCTTCCCCCTAGATTCTGCGGTATCACAAACCTAGAGAAACTGAGCCTACATAGGGTGTCCATTGACGTAGGTGACCTCCAATATTTGTTGCTAAGTTGTGCTCGTCTCGAGAGTATAAGCTTGGATTTCTGCCCCTTGTTAAGTTGTACTGTGCGTCAGGAGCTCTGCCGGTTGCAGTACCTGAGTGTGCGTGAGTGTGCGGTTGGAACGATTCAGTTGCAAGCTCTGAATCTTGAGAAGTTTAAGTTTGATGATTGTCTGACACAAATTGTGCTCAATGAATCTTCAAAGTTGTCAGAAGCAACCTTTGTGTTCAAGAGCAGTTCATACAACTGGTGTGTTGATGCCTTCGACTATATCTTGACTGAGCTCCCAACTGCTCTTCCTTATGTGCATAAACTTCTTCTACATTTGGTTGTTGGATATGAGGTCATTCTCTCTTTTTTTTTGCCATCACAATATCTGCATTCAGTTGTACATTGAGTTGTTGACTTGCCATCTCGATCCATCTCATATTGATTTATTTGTTGCGTTCATGCATTGTTTCTGTTCCAGGTGCAAAAGTTCAGTAAAAGCAACACCCCTTTCATCAATCTGTGGCATCTAAACCTGAACATCGAGATCACATGGGATCAAGTGGATGCTGACTGGGTTACAGCTTACAGGTTTGGTTTATCTCTTGGAGTTAGCACCTCTCTTAGAAGAACTGGAGCTGCATGTAAGTGACTCAATCATCGATCATGGTCTGTTTTTCTTTTTCTTCTTGATATTCCCAGTTCAAACAATATATATAATTAAATTATTGAATGGTTGAATATACATTTGTAGATTGAAGCAGGTACTAATGAACTGATATTTGTTACTTTTTTGTAAATAAAATCAGGGAACTATTGTAATCGTCTCTTGTTTTTTCTGTACCTACTAATAATTTGATTAGTGCTTCTGCCCCTTCGTCATGCACTTTTGCATAAAAACCCTGAAGTTTATATAAATCAACCTGCAGTCCATTGTAGCCCGACTGCAAGTGGAAAATAAATTCGTACGTGCCCCTGACTCCC